GGGACACAAATCTTGAAATCAAATCCTGATGACACTCGATTTTGCTTCGAGGCTCAATTTACTTTTGGGTAAATTACACTAGTGGTCCCTACATTTTACCTCCTATGATATTTTGGTCTCTACACTTTCAGTTGACTCAATTTTGACCATTAGTTTTAGATTTTGTGTCAATTTGGCCCAATGATAATCTCGTTAGTGTTTTTGAAGGAAAATAATCACTAAATTGGGTGAGGCCAACTCACTAAGTTGAGTAAATTTATAATTTTGCTATAAAAAATTTGACATATGCCACTTATATGTGTATTTTTCATAAAAAATGTTAAGAGTTGTAATCAATTGAACCAAATTAAAATAAAGACATAAATTTAGGGTCATCCAATTAATTGAAATTACATGGACCAAAATGACAAAAAGATTGAAGTACAGAGACTACTATCATAATTTTTCCTTTACTTTTTTAAGAGTCTCATTTTTATCTCATTGTGAATTTTAACATTGCTCATTTGTTGTGCAATGCAGGCATTAATTATAACAGGTCTTGTGGTGTCCGGTGAGTGTAATTTACGGAATAATCATATTATCATATAGAAAAATGTTTGGGAGCTCCAAATTATGAGCTCTAGGGGATGGGTCTCACTTATTGATGTGATGTTGACTTTAGATTTTTTTTTTTTTCATTTTTTTTTTTTTTTTTTTTTTTTTTGAATTTCCACCTCATTAGTGCTCCCAAATTAGTGGGATGAATCATTGTTGCATCATATATTATGTGTATATGCATATATGTTGCATGTTTTTATACATATATGTTGAAGTAAAAAATTTAATGAGTAAGAACGGCTCTAGTGTGATGTATTGTATGATTCTCATCTTTTCTACCATATATATTCTGGAACTACATTGATTAGCATTTATTTATATTTTTAATTTAATTGTAGAGTAGAAATTGTGATAGAACATCATTCTTCTAGATTCAAAAAGACCGGGAACAAAAAAAAAGGGGGGGGAAACAACTAAATACACTTATCCCTGAAATTCACTTAACAAGGGTATAAGTAGAATATGTCAAGCTTGTTTTTCTTGAACGAGATGAGATAACTATGACCTAACGAGGTTGCATCTATATTGACTAACATAGACTTACTCTACATTTCTTTGTCAATCAAAACTTTGTAAATGCATTAATATAATTGAATCCTGTGTGATTAGCATGTTTTAACTTCTATTTTCTGAAATTCACTGTTTTTTTTTTTTTTTTTGAAATTCACTGCTTTTTTTTTTTTGTCCTTTTTCTTCCCGACAGTTGTGGTATTAATTTGTGTTACTAAAGTTGCAAAGGATGCTTTGGAAAGAGCATTGGCTGAAAACGAAGATATAGATAGTATTGCAGCCTCACCAGAGCTACCCGTTGTGGCTGATCCAACGGCAGATCTCCACCAGCTGCTTATGATCACGATAAATCAAGACGATCATGAAAATTGAAATTTATGTTATTTTGTAAATTCTTCACCTTCTTAGGAATCTATACTTTCTTCGTTAGCATGTAGGTGTAGAGATTCTTGCTGTTCTCAATTGTACAGTCACATTGCTTTTTGGACAGCAATGGCTTAGCTTATAGGTGAGACAATACCCATTGTTTTTATTTTTGTACAAAAACATTTTTCAAAAATTTGAAAATGATTTTTATTTTTTATTTTTTTGTATGTGTGTGTGGGTAATAGTTTTCAACAGTTTTCCTAGAAAGTGAGTTCTTTAGAAACAAATTACAGAAATAATTGGCCAAATGATTTTTCAATGTTTGCCTTCCGTTCGCAAGGTTGTGTCCTCATACTTTTTGGGCATGTTTGATTGGAAGGATTAGAGTATGGGATTAGGATTATTAATCCGTGGGCCCAATTATCCTATGTTTGTTTTGACATTTTTTTTAGGATTATTAATCTAATGGATAGTTAACCCAACAAATTTATAGGATTATTAGTAATGGGATAGGGGTGGGATTGTGAATACCACACTAATTTCATAGGATTGTTAATACCTCACTATTCTTAACAAGGGTATAAGTAGAATATGTCAAGCTTGTTTTTCTTGAACGAGATAACTATGACCTAACGAGGTTGCATCTATATTGACTAACATAGACTTACCCTACATTTCTTTGTCAATCAAAACTTTGTAAATGCATTAATATAATTGAATCCTGTGTGATTAGCATGTTTTAACTTCTATTATCTGAAATTCACTGCTTTTTTTTTTTTTGTCCTTTTTCTTCCCGACAGTTGTGGTATTAATTTGTGTTACTAAAGTTGCAAAGGATGCTTTGGAAAGAGCATTGGCTGAAAACGAAGATATAGATAGTATTGCAGCCTCACCAGAGCTACCCGTTGTGGCTGATCCAACGGCAGATCTCCACCAGCCGCTTATGATCACGATAAATCAAGACGATCATGAAAATTGAAATTTATGTTATTTTGTAAATTCTTACCTTCTTAGGAATCTACACTTTCTTCGTTAGCATGTAGGTCTAGAGATTCTTGCTGTTCTCAATTGTACAGTCACATTGCTTTTTGGACAGCAATGGCTTAGCTTATAGGTGAGACAATACCCATTGTTTTTATTTTTGTACAAAAATATTTTTTTGTAATTTGAAAATGATTTTTATTTTTTATTTTTTTGTATGTGTGTGTGGGTAATAGTTTTCAACAGTTTTCCTAGAAAGTGAGTTCTTTAGAAACAAATTACAGAAATAATTCGCCAAATGATTTTGCAATGTTTGCCTTCCGTTCGCAAGGTTGTGTCCTCATACTTTTTGTGTTATGGATTTTCTATCTTCAAATCTCTTTTATCATAGAAAGCAGTCTCATATGTAATGTATGTGTATTCATGTGTTGGACATGTCGCGTGGTTTGTCAATTTTTTAGTTATTATTTTTTTTTACAGGAACTTCACGTACACACAAGTGTCTTATGTGTGGATAACACTACCTTTTTTTTTAATTTTTAAATATAATTTTAGAAAGTTAATTTTGGATAATTATAAAATATATGAAAATAAGAGGGGAGAAAATGGAGAGAAAAAAAAAAAAAAAAAAAAAAAAAAAAAAAAAAAAAAAAAAAAAAAAAAAAAAAAAAACCAGCACGTCCACCATTTATAACTCGGTGTTCTAAATTGATATTTATGTACATAACAAATAAAAATAAACAAAAATAATTTTTTTGACATATTCTTGATGTTCTCATGTCTAATTTTTTTTTAAAATCCTTATCCTGTGTTGGTGCGGCTTAACTTCTATCGTAATGTACTTCTAGTCATGCAATGCGACGGAAATTTTGAGATAGAAAAATTTTCAAACATCATTGTATGATGAGGAATATATTTACATAATAGAAAAAGTAACGAATTTAAAGACAGAAAATCGCGTATCTCAAGTCTTTGTTCAACCACCACCACCACTTCCCACCATTCTGGAATGTCCTGCTCATTCACTAACCTATTGGGTCCCAACCAAATCCTGATTGATTAACCAAACAGTGTGAACACTATCCCACCACATATTAAATTAGATGGAATTGGTTTGTGCAGTGAAAGAGTGGAGATGTTTGTTGAGGCTTAGAGGAAAAGTAAAATCAAAAGGGCACAAAACCTCTATAATGATGAAAGGTAAAGCAACATCATATCCAACCTCATAATGAAACTTTGATTCCATTGTGGTCGCTTTTGATTTTTTTTTCCTTCCCTCAAACCAAACAGAAAGAAGATTGGAGGGAAGGGAAAAGAATAAAGCCCCATTTGCTTTTTAAGTTGTCATAAATTTTTGTTACCATCCACTGTCTCCTTGTGTTGAATTTGCAGCTTGAGGACCCTACCACTTCCCCAAAATTGGATCAAAAAATACTCTAATTGAGATATTTTGTTATGAGATATGTTATTTTGTCTAATCTTATCTGTGAATCAAACACGATTCGGGAAATGATTGTTCACTCTTAATTTAGTCTATTCTATAGCACCGTAGTCTATTTTTGTACGATCAAAAGTTGTTCAAATTTATTTAAGGCCTAAGATGAAAAATCTAAGTAAGACCTTTCAAAATTTAATTAAAATTTTTCTCTGTATTTTTATTTAAAATTTATTTATTTCTTTTTAAAATTCAAACTTACTAATTAAGTTGTCATATTCAAGTCTGGTTTATTAATATATCAATTTCAGTTGATATTATGGCTTAATTCATTTAATATTTATTGCGACAGTGGATATCATATATAATTTTATTAATTTTGATCATGAAAATTTATTTTTACAGAATCAACCGTTGCAAATTTGTTAATAATATTATGCATGCAATAATTTAGACTAAAAATCTAGTTTCTTTTAATATATAATTCAATATGTTGACTGAAATATTTTACTCTATTTACAATTTTCTTTTAAAATTTTTAATTCAGAAAAAAATATATAAACCTTCAAATTGGACAAATAATCATGTTTAAGGTCAAATTAAAGATTAATATTTCTTTTCACAATCAAATCAATTTAAAAATCAATAGAACAAATAAAGGTGTAAAACTGGGATATGTACACTCGTTAAAAACTTTTTCAAGATCGACTCGTTATGTAAATAAGTCAAATTTACAATTTTGATTCGTTAAATTTTCAAGTCATGTTTGAACAACCTATTATTCAGCTCGATAAACTTATATAGTATAAAAACTAAGCTACTCGACCTCAACTTGTGCTTGGCTCATTAAAAATACGTTTGAAATAAACTCATTAGGTAAACAAGTCAAGTTTAAACATAATTTTAAGCTCGTTAAGTTATCATCAAACCAAATTTAAACAACTTGACTCATTTTCCGCCTAATTCTAATGATCACACTAAAAAGATTGAAAAATAAAATTAACAACACACCAAAAGTCATAGTGTATCTTATACGCAGAAATCACAAAAGTTGAAATGATCATTTATAACACACAAAGTATGAGAGTTTCAATTCCTCATTGAAGAAAAAATGCAGGTTTTAGGCCTTTTTTCGCTTTCAAGGTGCTTCAATGGATGTCGCGGTCACACCCAGGTTTCCAGACTTGGAACGAGGATTTGGAACCTCAGTGACAAGCCCGTGGAGCTTCAAATAAGAGTGGGATCGATATTGAAGAAAATTCACACTTTGCAGCCCGGTTCTTCGAAAAGATTGAAATCCAAGACCATCTACAAGGCTTACATGCCTAGCCACGGTGGTGGTGGTGGTGGAGAGGGAATGAGGGGATTGTTATATTACTATGATGAGACATGTCATCCTTATATTTGGATACATGACACAATGGGAAATTCCTCAAGAATGGTGAAACAACAGTATATTAGTCTTGAAGATTTGAGAGATTGTTCTGAGATCAGAATATTTAGAGATCATCAAAGAGGCTGCATATCGGTTCGGAAGAAACCGAGGCCGGATTTTTGTTGAAAAACGAAGTTGTTTTCTCCATTGTAAGTTAATTTTGATCATGCATATCAGAAAAATGGGATTACAGTATATTTTTGTGATTTTGTTTTTGTTTCTGTTTCTGGTGTTTTTTTTTTTTTTTTTTTTTTTTTTTTTTTTGTTTTTTTTTTTTTGGGGTTTTTTTTTTTTTTTTTTTTCATTTTTTTGTTGGGTTTCCCTTTTCTTTTGATGGGTATTTAAAGATTTAACGTGCCACAATCAACATGTACTACACACATAATCTGAGGAATGAAATACAATGAAGCTGTTGGATCTCCATTTTTTTCCCTTTCTTTTTCTTAATTAAAAATAGTGTTTCAAATTTTTTTAAAAAGTAAATTGACTTAGACACGAGACATATACGTGGGATTCACCCATTGATATTATGTTTAGTTAGTATATTATTAGTACATTAATCAATATTTTCAATATATTATCAAGTACAAAACGGTTCACATCTATAAATACAGATTCTTATTTCTATTTATTGTCTAGTGATTGATTATGTGTTTGTAATATTAGTATAATTTCAAACTCGAAGAATTGGAGTGTTTTTGTTTCTCAGATCCAACACCCTACCAACTAATAACCAATGATGCAAACTTGATGCCAAATCAAGGCCTCAATTGTCCAAATATGCTTATAATGGGAAAGATTGCTTCATGGAGAGATCACTGACTATGAAGCAATCTTTTAGTAAATATTTGTACTACATACTTTTGTGACTTTACTGTAAATACGAGTAGAGCAAAGTGTCAATTTTGTTAAAGTATTTCACTTTCTCTAATTTTTGAAGTATTTTTATCAAGTGATAGATGAATCGTTACTCGTCAATTCTTTCTTAGTTTAAAAAAAAATGTTTCAAAAAACTCTAAGATATCGCGTGGGATACAACTAAGTGTCATCATTTGATCTGAAGGTTTGCAGCATGACCCAAGCCCATGCTCTAGAGAGGTTGGGATAGTCCAAATAATAATTCTCCTTGGACTATCCCAATTTCATGTGTGAATGTATGAAGGATTGGCATTGTTGATCAAATTAATCAGGAAAAGGCGCAATTATAAACCAGGGTGAAAAAAAAAAAAAAAAAAAAAAAAAAGCCAAATTTGAAAGTTCATTTAAGACCATTTAAAAGGTTATTAAAATAAATATATATATAAAAAAAAATGCCAAATTCATAGCATTTGGAGCTTATCTAAGTCTTATAGTTTTGCTTAATATAATTTGCCCAAAAGATAAATTAGTTATACCAAAGATAAAATTAAAATCAAATCAAACTAAATTTTGTATTTCAATCAAACTGGATCGATTACTAGCCTGAGGCTTCTCAACAACAAAAATTCACCATATCCAAATTTATGAGGATCTTGCTAGCCACTCGTGACTAAATAATATAAAAAAATACAAAATACAAAATTTATATAATTTTTTATAATGTGAAAATTACAAATATAATTTTTTTAATTACTTAAAATACAAATTGTCTCATATGATTCTGAAATTTTTAAATATCTCATTGTTATAATTTGTCATTTAACCTAGTTAATAGAAGAAGTAACAGAGATTTTTTTTTAGGATCCCTAATATTAAGATTTTATAGCATAAAGAACATCCAATATTTTTATATATATTAGTAATGGAGATTTTTTTTTAGGATCCCTCAACATTGATCCAGAGAAAATTCGATTCAGAAAATTTCTTTGGACTTCTCAAGGAATTTATCTCTAAAAAAATTCTGAGAAGACCAGAGAAGTTCTCTAGATTCCAATCTAGAGATTTTCTCTAGATTTTCAAAGAATTTTCTCTAGTTTTTGCAAGAATTTCTCTACGTTCAAACCATAAAATTTTTCTGCTTTCTCAATCACGATATGCACTTTACAAAATTGATCACCTAAATAAGCAACAACAACAATCATTATATATGTGTGTGTGTATATATATATATATATATAGAGAGAGAGAGAGAGAGACTGACTGAAAGGAGAATTTTTTTGAATTCAAAGCGTGGAATTTCTCTGGCTTCAAACCAAAGAAATCCAGAGAAAATTTGGTTGTGTTTGGATTAGTTTTCCAATCACAATTCCACCACTTCATGTGAACAAAGCGTTTAGATGGGATTTTTAAAAATTAATTCCATCACACATTTTAAAATACATTTTTGTTTCATGTTTGGCAAAGTTTCTTCTAAAACAAACTTCCAAGCAAAGCTCTCACCTTTTCGTATAGTTTCTGAAATTTTGAGTCTACCCAGATGTCTGGCCAGTTGACCACTACATTTTTTTTTTTTTTTTTTCGGTGGCAATTGCCAACAGAAAGCAAAGAAGATAAGACATCAAAAAAGAAATTGGTAACTTTTTCATACATACATACATGTGTTCGTGTTGTTGTAGACTAATTTTCTATTGAAAGCGAAGAAGAGAAGACATCAAGAAAGAAATTGGTAACTCTTTCCTACATACATATATCTCTTTGTGCTATTTTAGACTAATTTTCTATTAGTGACGTATTAGAGGCAGTCGGCCATGTTGAGGACCAAGGTGGAGCAGTCGATGGCCGGCGCTGAAACGGCAGCATGAGAGTGGAAGTGAGCAAAGTGTGCAACGGAGAAGACCTAGATGGAGAGGATGGAGAAGAGGAGAGTAATGGTGGTGGTCGTCTTTGTCGACATTGTTAGAGGAGAGAGAGTGTCGGTGAGGGGGTTTTTAGGAAGTCTCTCTCTCTCTCTCTCTGTGGTTGTTGTTGTGGAGTGAAGGGAGATAATGTGTCTTGTGTGTGTGAACAGTGGGAAAGGAGATGAGAAAAGGGTTTCTTGGGGCTTATGATGTGAAGACCATATAGATTGGGAAAATTGTGAAGAGTAATACTAGGGCTGCAACTCGGGCGGGCTCAACCCGAGCAACCCGTACCCAGCCCGAGTTTTTTTAGGGCTTGGGCAACAATATCTTGTAATCTGGACAGGCCTAGGTAGATTTTTGATGCCCGAATTGTAATTCAAGCCGGGCCTGGGCAAAATCAGTGACTAACCCGAGCAACCCGAACCCGAATTGCATTTAATATATTATAGAAATTATATGATATATATATAAATTAAATTAAATAGATGTCCTTAATATATATATATATATTTTTGGCTGGCTTGAGTGTCCCATCCCAATGGCAATGGCTGACTCTATTTCTTAAGAGTGTGATCTGTGTCTTCAACTCAAACAAACTAGTGCCACCAGGCTCCAGTAGCTTCTTCAAACAAAGTAGGCACTCTAGAGGGCTTGTTTGGAGAAGCACCATTGCAGAAGTTGTTTGTTGTCTAGTGCAATTCGGGCTAACCCGAGTTCAAATTATAAAGCTTGGTCCAGGCTTGGGCACTGCCAAACACAATTCGGGTTGGGCTTGGGTAAACCTCAAACCCGACCGAACCCGCCCGAGTTGCACCCCTAAGTAATACTAGGCACCCCAAATAGTCTACCAAATGCTATACTAAACTTCTCATATGGGTGTGGAACTCACATACATGTGAATTTGTGTGAGTCTCACACCATGTAAGAGATTTGGTAAGACATTTAATAGATTATTTGAGATTCATAACACTTTCCAATTGTGAATGAGTTGTAAGGCAAAAAAAATAAAATAATTTAATTTTTGATTTTTTATTATTTCAAGTTGGATAAAAATGGTTATATTTAGAATAATAATTGATTTTTTTGATTGATTTGATAATTATAAAAAAAATTATTATTATTATTACGTTTAAAAACATCAACTATTACAAAAAATAATTATTATTATTATTATTATTTTCTTTGTAATATTTTCAATTAAAAAAATTGATTAATGTTAATTTTTGTCAATAATTATTTTTTTTAATTGAATTTTAAAAAGAGTTTGCTTATAAGTGTTGATCAGAATTTTCAATAGAGTTTTGAGTAGTGTGTTTGGTTATGAGTTATAACAATTTGAATTGAGTTTTGAAAACTCTTTTCAAAACTCATAAGAGTTTTCAAAACTCATAACTAAACAAATTTTCTTATTTCATATGTCACATCAAATATTAAAAACTCAATTCAACACTCAACTCAAAACTCAATTCAAAATTCATTTCAAAACTGAAAACCTGTAACAACTCTCGTCACTATTTATCGAATAACCACTGATTACCGTTAAACTGAAACTGATTATGACTGATAAGTGAACTGAATAAACTACTGAACTGACTGACTGAAATTGAAACTGAATTGACTGAGTATGCCTGTTTAATTGTAATTTTATCTGTTTGGTTATTTAAGTATCTGTTCAGTTTTTATGTTTAAATTGCGAATTGAAGGCCTTATCGGCGGCCGAATCTGAAATTGATTGATGTTCTATAATCGTTAGAATTAATGTGAATTTATGGCATATTTATCTGAAAACTGATTTGGTATGATTAAATTAGAGTAATTAAACCAAATTAATAGAGTTGGACTTATTTACCATTAGGCCATTGAGTGGACCACTACCTAATATCTTTTGAGCCTTATTACACTTAGGCACATATTTGTTCAGCCACATTTGAGAAGCAAAACCGACTGAGAGAGAGAGGTAGAGGAACTTAGCTTCATTTTGAATTTTGGTTTCAAATTTGAAGGAATTGAAGGATTGAGTGCATATTTGAGCCTCCATACCTCTAATTCAAGACCTAAGGTAGTGTTATCCATGCATGCATGTTTGAATGTTGAATTTTAAGTTGTTTTCATGACAAATTGTCACATGCATGCTCATGGTTATGTTAAGTCCATGTTTTCATCTTGTTTTTGTAAGAGCTAGCTCATTAGAGCATGAAATTGAAGCTTTGAAATGGTTTAAATTCATGCATGTTTGCATGCTCTTCATATTCATGAAAATTTGTTTGAATTGAGTCGTTTGAAATACCCTTGGGCTTTGATTTTACAAATTGAGCTTTGAATCATGTTAAAGTAGGAGTTTTGATGTGTTTTCTGAAAAATTGGCCC